GCTAGGTTTTGCCAATCAGCCTAGAACTTGTTCATTTCAGCTAGTTTTGTTGATTCTTTGCCTAGGGTTTGTGATTTCGGCGAACAGATGGCAGCAAGAAGTGGTCAAAACAGGGGTATATCCACCTCGTAATGAACAAGATCAGATGATAGAGGATCTGAGTCGATGAGTTCAAGAAATTACAAAACAGCTTGCATGCATCCATCGTGGTGAGATGAAGTTTTATCCATCTAAGACGATGTTGAGAACAACCCATCTCACGATCATGCTCCACGAGGTGAATTGTGTGAAGCGGAACATGATCGGAGGTATAGTGGCACTCAAAATTTAGAGATTGAAAACTAGATATTCTTGATTTTAAGGAAAGTCCTAGCGCAACACCTTTATAGACTGGTTAAACACAATAGAGAGGATCTTTTGCTTACAAGGATGTGCGGAAAATAAAAAGGATAAAATTATTTCCATTAAATTGAAGAAAATGCTTCGGTATGGTGGGAACAATTGAGACTAAGGCAAGAAAGGATGTGAAATCCTGAAATTGTGTCGTGGGAGAAGATGAGGAAAAGACGAAGGAAAAATATCTTCCTAAAAATTATTTAGTCTTTATATCAAGAGATGCTCGGGCTGCGCCAAGGGGATAAGTCAAGGATGATACAAATGAGTTTCACTTTGTGACAGCCCGTAGTAATGTGATGGAGTGGGAGGCGCAGTCCATTACCAGGTGTGTGAGTGGACTGTGCCAATCAATTCAAGATGTGGTAGTTTTGCAACAGTATCAGATCCTTGATGAGGTCTATGACCTTGCAAAGAGGGTGGAAATTCAGCAGAAATTTACCTCGAACAGGTCGGGTGTGGGTGCGAGTCATGGGGAAATAGGGCAACACCCGTGGTGGTGATTTTGGAAGAAAGGCAGTGTGAGGGGTGCTTGTTCGACATCTTGCACTGCCGGAACGACAACCAGCAAGGTGCCCTCGACCATAAAGGGGTTGTTTTAGGAGTCGGGGAACCCGAAAGGGGTGTTTGTAGCAACATCAAGTGCTACGAGTTGGCATCGGACATGTCTCATCATAGTGCGTAAATCGCAAGTTCGTTAACCTTTTTGTGAAGTTTTATGACGAGGATAGCAAGCCTTCTTTTGAAGGTGATCCCATCTATGATGAGCTGGTTGATTAAGAGGACATGGAAGTGATCTATAATTATCATGGGGAGGTGTTCGTGATCCAACGCATCATGATTACGCCTTGGGTCATGGAGGAAAATGACTGGTTGCGCACAAGCATATTTCATACACACTGCATTGCATATGGGAAAGTGTGTAATCTAATCATTAATAAGGGAGTTCAATGATGTCATACAGGATAAGCTTCCCGTACCTCTTATGCAAGACATCAAACATTACATCTACCTCATCCCTTGTTCTAGCCTTCCAAATAAAGAGTCCTCTAGAATGAGTGAGCCTTAAGGAGCATAAAGAGTTATAGAGTTATAAGGGAGTTCAATGTAGTAATCGCTTGTCGAGGATTCTGTATCAACTATCCTTTGATGGAAACTAGAAACTTGAAACTAGCTTCATAAAACATTCGACAACCATAACCACAAATTTGCAACCTCAAACTTTAAAGTTACAAAATACAAACTAAATGTCTTTGAAGATTAAAGAGTTCAAAAGTCAAGCTCAAGACAAATCATCATCATTTCTCAATTCTCAAGTCTTGAGATTCTAAATTTTAAATCCCTATCAGAGAAGTTATCTTGAGAGTCTCCATGTGCATCATCATTCTAAACTTCCCTGAACTTCCTCAAATCAACACCCAAAAGAAGTAAATCAACAACCAATCATCAAGCAATACAAAAATCTAAGAACTTCATAAAAAATATTTTCTGCCACTTTTGTTTTTGATTGATTTGATTGAAAAAAAGCCATGGATGTGGCTGTTTTTAGTTGTTTGGGGGGTACAATACCCCCTCCAAATCTTTTTCGGGGCTCTAAATGTCCAAAATACCCCTGTCCGAGAGGTTTTTTTCACGGAAATGACTGGCCGCATATGCAGATTCTGCGGGATGCGGCCGCATAATGCTTTATGCCGAATTTTAAAGTCATGTTTGGGCACAGTGCCAAGGTGGAGTTGTAGGAGACTATTGGTACGGAATGGATTTCTCTCAAAGGGAATCAATTGCGCATTCTAGATGGTTCTCTTAGAGGGGTTCTTATTTCAGAGCTACTTTTTTTTGTGGGTGGTTGGTTGGGGAGGGGGGGGGGGCTCAGGGGACACTTTGGGCAAAACAAAACCCACCCTCGGGTTGATGAAGTCCAAGTATTATTTGCCTGAACTTAAGAGAGATGTGGCTAGGCATGTGGAGGTGCAAAAGGGTCAGCGTCAGAACTTGGTGTGTTCTCCAATTCCCATTCCCAATGCACCATGCTAGATGTTACATGGACTTTGTGTTGGGTCTTCCACGGTCTCAACGAAGTGTGGACTCTATATTTGTTGTGGTGGATGGGGCCCACTTTATTGCTTGCAAGAAGACTCTAGATGTAACTCCTGTGGCCAAGTTATATTTCAGTGAGTTGGTGAGACTTCATGGGATCCACGTTATAGTGGTAGGGATACCAAGTTTCACAACCACTTTTGGGGAACTCTATGGCACAAGATGGGTACCAAACTACAATTCTGCTGCGCTTATCATCGACAAGCTGATGGTCGAACTGAGGTGGTCAATCCTTGGTAACCTACTTTGGAGCATTGTGGGCGACATGAAGGGATAGTGGGACTTGGCTTCTGAGTTTTCTTACAATAGTTCATACTGTCAGTCAACTGGTAAGAGCCCATTTGAGGTCATGTATATGCAGAATCCTATCCATATGATGGACTTAACTCCTCTACCAGCTAATGAGGAAGGACACTTCGATGCTGACAGTATGATCGAGCACATGAAGGATGTCTGAAACTAGGTTTGAGCTAATTTGGAGATTGCCACTACTAAATACAAGGAAGTTGTAGATAAACTTAAGGGGTTCAAAGAGTTTCAGGTGGCCAATTTGGTGATGGGTTATCTCTGCAAGGATAGGCATCCTATGCGTAAATAGGACAAGATGAATAATAGGAAGTTCGAATCGTTTCGGTTGTTGAAGAAGATGGGGAGTAATGGCTATAAGATCGACCTTCCAGCAGAGATTGAGACCTTGAATGTGTTAATTGTTGCTGATCTTTTTGAGTACTATAGACCGGAAGTAGCAATAGAAGAACGATCAAACCTGAGGTTGAGTTCTTCCCAACCGGGGGAGAATGATACACCAGACAACCTTCGACCACTCAAGACAGTTCTCATGGGCCCCTTTTACCCTATCAATCCATCCTTTGATGTTTATGATGATCCACATCCCAAGGTTGCAAGGCAAACTGAGAGGGGAAGGCCGACTTTTTAAAGGATTTTATTTTTAGCTTGTTGCTATCTATTAAAATGTTTGGCAGTTTAGGGACCTTCCATGTTTTAATTCTACTGGAGGGACTTATGGGTATTTTTATAATATTTTAACTTAAGTAGGGCTAAGTTTGGTCTTTTTTCCATTAAAATTTAATGAAAGGGCCTGGGCTGTTAGGGTTTCTGAGACTTTTGGAGTGTGAACAATAAAAACAGGATGTGAACAGTAAAACCAGGCCCTATGTAGGGTTTTGAGGTCTCTTCTTTGTGCAAGAAAAGCCAGGTCCACTTAAATCTACCTGTTTTGATGATTTATTGAATTGTTTTTGCCTCTTTTCTTTATTTTCTTGTATCAAAACAATACTACCATATTCTTCCACCATGCTTTTGATTTTGTTGTCCAAATTTGCATTTTCTCTTAGAAGTTTATCAGATTGACATGCTAGGCCGCAAAAGATAGATCCTATACTAAGTTCAGAGAGTTCCCTATGACACTTCAGAATTACGGTCTTCTAAAACCTTCTCAGTTAGTTACTCTCATATGTGGGAAAGTTTGGTGGAGGACCTTGTGAACTCCCTCCTTCCCCCCCGCCCCCCCCAAAAAAAAAAAAGGAAAAAGAAAAGGAGTTTGGTGGAAGGTGTTAGATGGGGGTAGCATGCAATTTGGTTGCTGGAACATAAGTGGTCGTAATGGCCCAGATTGAAGGATGCACCTGCAGGAACGATTCAGGAATAATGTACTTGAAATCAGACTTGTCCGAGGCCCACAATTCAGTGATTCGGAGGGAACTTTTCTAGTGGATTATGGAGCACGGTGTGACCATTTGTTGGATGCCACAGGCATTTACACATGCATTCCTAGTTAATGGAACTCAAGTCAATTTTTGGGGAAATGGGTGCTTTCAGGGAGGATGTTGTAGTAGCTACTGCACCCATAAATCAAAGATTGCCCATAAGGTTATTTTAGTCATAATTGATAACTAGAATTGCTATCCTATCCCATAGATGACATATACTCAAGATATCTCTTACGACAGTATTTACATTTTAACATGCTGTATTCCTTTTAATTAGGTCTTACCAATCTTTCCTCTCAGTTTTGGGGACACTTTGAAGAACCTGACTCGATGCTTCTTATATATTATTTTTTCCTTCTCTAGTTGGGTCTTTTCACGTCTATGTTGACTCAATCCTGTGGCGTATGATATTAGTTTTGGACATCTATTTGCTTTAGCAAATGCGGGTTGGAGAATTTAGCTACTGTCAGTGGGATTGGACATCGTCTCTTTCTGCATGATGAATTCAAGCCTTCTCATGAAAGTGATTTATCTTTTCAAGCACATTCTTATTTCGATCATCTCAATTGCTTGGTTGAGGGTGTTCCAAATGTCATCACTGTCTGGTTGATTTGACATTGATAATTTTCTTTGGCTGGCTGATATGGTTTAATACATGTTGTAGGCGATTTTTTTCTTGCGGGTTCTGTTCATTGATAAGAAAAGTTTAAGAACGCTCGTTTCACAGGTTGGAGGTGGTCATTTTCACTGTACTTATTTCTTTTTATTTCTGTTTCATAGATGCCTACCATGAAGTTGAGGTGAAAGGATGTGAAGAGGTCCGAAAAGTTGCTTCAACTGATCCTTCAGATAAGCTACAAGTGAAACGAAACAATACCACTTGTGTCACTGATCAGTGCAGTGACCTTTTGGATTTGCGTCAACATGGAGTTTATGCCTTGGAGGGTAATGGGATATCAGAAATCACTTCTGATAAGGGAAAAATCAGCAGAAGTCTTGCTGGTAAGAAAAGGAGCTTTGGAGACTCTTCTTGGAATGAGCAACAAGATAATAAGGAAGCCTTTAAAGGAACTCAAGTGCTTAAAGATGATAATCATGATGGAGTGGCCGGTAAATCTTCATTTAAGAGCCAGGAAATGGCTGATTCTCCAACTAGTTCCAATGACAGTGACAGTGATGGAGTTCTTTACTCAAAAAGAGACCTGAAAGCTCTGCATACAAAACCAAACATGGGGTTATCTGAGGACTTAAAGCTTGAATGTTCAAGGTATTATCGACACCGCTACAGTGTATACATGCTGTATTTGTTGACTAGATATATAGGAGATCTGCTCTATCCCTAACAAATGCATAAAATTACTCTTTGGTGCTGAGATTTATTTATGCATCTCTCACTTTTCGAGACGTTTTCATGTACCTGTGTTCCAGCTTGCATGTGCCCCCACAACGACTGAGAAGCAGGTCTCCTGATGCGGAAGAATTTGGGGGCAGAAATAAACGATCACCGCTAGTATGTGATTTTTTTGCTAGAGGTTGGTGCATCAAGGGAAGCTCCTGTAAATTCCTTCATCAGAAAGATGATGTTAATGAAGCCAGCCAGGTGACCAAAGGGAAAACAATTGAGGCAATGAGTTGGAGAGGAGACACTAGTGATGGTGCAGGTAATTTAAGTTCCACTTATCTGGAGGAACTTTCTTTTCTCTTTCCGTTCTTAATGGGTTCTTTGTCCTTGATTCAGGGGAGAGAAGAGCAGTAGACACATCTAAATATTCCATTTTCTCAGAACAGTTATCCTCTTCTCAGGGTGTTTCTTTAACCCATTCTTTAGCAGAAAGGAGTCAGTTGTTATCCCCTCAAGGTGATAATGCTTCTACTGGCACTATGTTCAGGAAAGATTATGGATCTTTGACCTCGACTTATGATGGTTTCCATCCGTTGAACTTTCCTGGAGAGCGCTCTAGGTTTGTCTCATCCAATCTGGAGGCTTCTAGAGAAAATCCAAGGCAAGATTCTTTTGTGGATAATTTCAGGCCAATTATCTTCGACATGCAAGATAGACACTTCCCACCAATTTCTATTGGAGGAGATTTACAATGTTATGATCGACCTTCAGTGGTTCCATCTATTCATGAGAAGCTTGGAGACAATATGTACCAAAGGATTCCAAAAGGGGAGTATAACCATAATAGCACATTTCTCAGCAGGTATCCTTCTCATTACGTTCATGGTGACTTCGGAAGACCAGATCCTTCCTTGAATTGGAATAGATCAAATCCTGCATCTTTGTTGGCTGGTTTATCCATGCCATTGGTTGGAGATGATGGTAGGTACAAGCCCTTCAAGTGCGAAGGAAATTCCTTGGATTTGACCATTCCAAAGTGGTCAAGTCGGTTTTCAATGCATGATGTGCCTATGCCTGGTCTGAATAGTTTTCTTCGTACAAGTTTCAGTTCCAATATCTCATACACAAATCCAGCAATTACTGGGCCAGGATCTTCATCAACTATTGGTTCTCCATTTAGTGTTTTCAAGCTTCTTGATAGTCCAAATATTCCGAATAGTAAGGCGAGGTCATTTTTGCCCTGCTCTTTCAGTATGACTGGAAAATCTCCTCCATATGGCTTGAGGCCTGAAGGAGAGACCACATCCTTGCAGAATATAGAACAGGCCTCCCCAATCCCTGGTGGTTCTAGAACTTATTCCTATTCCAATTCTCGGGAGCTATCTGGTTCACTTCGGTCATCTTTTTCTCATACCATGGCAAGATTTTCATCTCCAAGTAGCCAGTATGATCCGATTCTTGATAGCATTGAGCCATCTGGTGGAGAACCACATGCTAGTTTTGTGGCCTCTAGTTTTAGTGAATCAAAATGTACTGAGAGTATATCACAAAAGCTGGCAAATGGAAATCGTGCCATGCTTGAAAGCTGGAGCCCAGGATACAATGCTAAGACAGACATGGATTCTTTCTATAGAGTCAATGGTGATAGAGTAGATATTCAAAAAGCTGAGACAGCTGAGGAAACTCCTTTAGCTGATGCAAAAGGTACAACGTCTGAGCCCAAGGAGGATAAAAAATCTAATCCTAATGTTGCCGCTGCTGGTCATGCTGAAAATGCTGGTGATTCTGCAAATGCAGCAGACGGGAACCGGCATGATAAGGATTCAAAATTGTTAAAATGTTTTCGTGCTGCTCTTGTGGACTTTGTGAAAGAATTGTTGAAACCCTTTTGGCGTGAAGGTCGGTTGAGTAAAGATGCCCACAAAACAGTTGTAAAGAAAGCAGTTGAGAAGGTCCTTAGTGCAATGCACCCCAATCAAATACCTGGCACTACTGAGTCAATTAATCAGTATCTTTCGACATCCCGAACCAAAATCAGGAAACTTGTTGAGGTGAGTCTCTAAGCATTTTGGTAAATGAACTTCTGATTTTGGAATTCATTTTAGATGTCTATACTTCATCTTTGGGTACTTATATTTGCAGGGGTACGTGGCCAAGTATGCCAAATCTTAAGTGACACTTTGGACTTATGCTTTGTACAGAGACCTGCATGCTAGTTTTAACCTTAAAACCTTCAACTTTCTTGTTCCAACAACTTCTGATGAGATGGTGGTTGACAGTGCCAGTGACATTGTTTCCAATATGATCAAAACCCGATTCTTGTGGTACATCTCCTGTCTGCTGTCGATGATATGTGAAGACTTTTTACACTTTTATGCATCCAAGGTCATTATAGACTATCTGCCAGTTCAATAGGAAAGAGAACAAAACACAAACATTTTTGTTGCATGCGAATGAGAAGTTAAAACTTTTTGGATGAGTGTATGTCACTTAATATGGTTGAAAGTATTTTGGATTTGATGGCCATGTCATTGATATAATAAACTTGATACACATTGATTTAGCATTGAATTTCCTTGACCATGGTGGATGAATATTTGATATCATGGAGTGCGCTCATGGATTGGAACAACTTTTACATGATATGATTCTCTCTGATGAGTTCCTTTTTTAATTTATTTAGTTTTCAACTTTACAATGTCTGTATTGAACGATTTCAGCAACTTTCTTGTCACCATTCTCTAAAAGGAGGTTTCTCCCTCTTACATTTCCCATTTTAAGGTCTGGAGATTCAATGCTCTTCTTCCTAAATTTTTAGGTTGTTTTGTTTCACATAAAAGTATTTATGTGGGATGTATGCAGTCAGCCATAATCGGCATTCTACGTGCATTTGGGTTTTCCAGAACATATTTCATAAGTTCTCGCTGCCTGCCTGGTAATTAATACTTGTGTTAGTTATCTAATGTCAGTATATTTTTTTGTTCTAATTTCTAAAAAAACAATATTCTGAAAGTGTAAATGGCTGATCTTAATTGTTTATGATACGCCCATGTCAATGTACCAAGATGTGTGTGACTTATGGCTATAAGCTTAAAATGTTGATATATGTGGTGAGCCTTTAGGTCAAGTGGAGGAATATTTCGTTCATAATATGTTGCATCTTTTACATAACATTAAATTTTTATCCTGCAACAAAAAAAAAGAAAGAAAAAAAGAAAAATCTTCCATTTTACTGTTTCAAGCTGCATGCTTCTTTGCTTTGAGTCTTATAATACCATATGATCATATTGGGGCAGAATACCTATTTTCTGTTTTGACAAATTTCTCGATATTTTTGACCTTTCTGTTATAAATTTTAATGAACACACTTATGGGTTCCTTATTGTTTTGTGAAGAAGAGTGAGTGGGAACAAATCTTATTGGTGATGTTTGATATTTTTCATCGAGGCACACTAGTTCTATTTGTGGGGAAAATTGAAAAGGAAATCTTACACTGCCTTTTATCTGGGATCATCTTCATCAACCTGCATATTAGTTGACACCCCAAGGTTCCTATTCCTTTTTAGATTTACGCACTAATAATACCTTTGCTTGCTTCTGTTTCCTGTTTGACGTACATTATAGGGATGACTACTGAGTGATGAGGGTTCTTTTTCGGAATACTCTTGTTTCAGCAGTCTTTATGATATATTTCTGCCAAAGACGCGAGGAGGACACTCTGGTAAGGGTGCTTTGATGGATATCTGAGATTTTAACTTATTCGGAATAGCAGTGAGATGATTGTAACATCAATGATGGTACTACGGTTGATGAGTTCAAGGCTATGAATTGGGCATGGTGTGATAGTGGGGAGGTCACCAATTTACTTATGCAGGTGGATAACTGGAAGAGCACGTTCTCTAGCAGCATGGTGGACTATGAAGGCAAGGAACTAGAATGAAGAATGGGATTATCTCTTTGAGGGAAACTTTGAACAGGAGAAAGGACACAGAAGTTGAAAAGAAATTAAAATGAGGGAACTATGAGCAAGAGTACGAGTCTTGAGGGGCTGCAGATGCATAATTGTACGGATCATGGGCTTTAGCTATTGATGTGGTGGGAAAGGGACGACAAGCTTCAAGAACATCTGGTATGATGAAGTAGAAAAATAAGTCTGATTTGCAGAATATTCGGGGGTGTTGGGGATGCAAACCTAGTCTTAACATCTCTCTTGGTGTTTCGTTTATGTTTGCCTTTCTATGTTTCTCATGTTCTATTCATAATCGGTTTATGAGAAACTTTGAGTTACTCGTTATAGTTTTAGTCTCACATCCAAAATCTATTCTTGTAAGCTCTTCCCTTTAACTACCTTAGTGTTTTATTGTTTGTCCACTCTTAGGCATGATGTGGCATTCATAGTTTCAGCTCTTTATTCCATTAGACTTCGTCGTTTTCCTTGTTCGATTTTTTTAAGTTATTTCTTGATTTTATTTTTTTTAATGTAATTTTTACATGGTGAAGGAAGTGTTGGCTGATCCTGCTTTGCTTTGTTGTGTCATTATTTTATTTGACGCTTCCTGTGTACCCCTGCACTTCGTTCGATTTCGACTAACATAAATTATACCCATTGCACTTTAGTTTTTCAGCCATACAAATGGGTGGGGCTGGGATGTAAATGGATTGGCCAACCCAGACTCGGACCCTGACCTGACAAAATGTTGGACCAGGACCTGGGGTCGGTTGGGTTGGGTCTAGTCAAAACATGATCTTTTTTAAAATATAATATATGAATAATATACAATGCCTTATTTTTCTTAGCACAAGAAAGTCAGATCAGTAGATATGAAATTGAGTGGCTGGTTTGCATGTGATTGGTTGAGCATAGAACTCAAAAATTTAATTTCTCGAATTATGTGGATTCGCAATTGATAGACAAACGTGATTTTGAATCAAATGAAATTCAAAAGCAACACTAATGTTAAATGCGATGAGTTGACCACTTTAATGATTTTATACGACTATCTAGTTGATTTTTTTTTATTTAATTAATAAATAAAAGAATTAAAATTAGAAGCTTTGTTAATATATCAAATATCATTTATCTCAGACATGACAATTCAGCTGATATTTTCCTTTATTTAATTAAAGGAAAAAGTGTGTATAAGGTTGCAACCTTAAAAATGTAGAATTACATTTGCACTTCAAAAATAAAATTAGAAAATATTGTTTTAATGTTGAAAATTTCTCTAATGATCATCTCGACATCGAGATGTATGAATATGAAAAAAGAAGAAGATTTTGAGTTTAAAAATAGTGCATCTTGCAACAACACATTATCTAGATTGTTCATTTTTAAGATATTTTGATCTGCTTGATTTTAATCATTTTTGGAGTTTAAAATTTTATAATTAGATATAAAAATAGATTTTGAGATAATCTTAAGGATTTTTTAAATCAAAATTGCATGTTATGATAAAATTGGGAGGTGCTCTTTAATTGGACTGTTTATAGTTGCAACCTTATGAAACCACACCCTATTAAATAATAAATTTGAGGAAAGAAATTTTATTAAGAAGTTAAAAAAAGTAATAGTCTCACATAATACAACAAAAAATGGACAAAAATTAGAACGTAAAAAGTTAATTATTTATTTCATCAATAAATAGTAGTCTTATATTCCTTTGAATGGTAATTTACGTCACAATAAGCCTACAAGTACAATAAAAAAAAATTATGATGTAGCACATGGGATAACTAAAAACAATACCACTGAGACGACTTTTTTTCATTGAAGATCTACTTCATTTAAAATTTCACACTTTACAACCTCCTAAAGTATGAGAGAGAGAGAGAGGATTGAGAGAGAGAGTATCCAAATGAATCAATTTTTTTTTTCGTTTTCTTGGCCCTACTAATGGTAGGAATCATCCCTAAAAGTGAGAATCGAAATCCTAAAATTTGAAAACTATAATATCATATATTTCCTACTCTGGAGCATGGCAGCATGATCCTAAAAGTAATACGGATACTTAGGTTGAAAGATCCCAAGAGCAATGACAATTATAACACAAAAGGATAATGGCTTAAAAGGTCCAAAACCATTTTGGCAGGATTTGACGTGATTTGAGAATGGAGAGGAAGTAGATCTCATCAAACAGAAGTGGAGCGATTCTATAGTGTTTGGATGGTATGGATACCGTGTGCATAAAAAGCTCATGAATGTGAAACAAAAAATGCTTCATTCGAAGAAAGATAAAGTTTTATATTAAAAAAAAGATTGGGGAAGTGATGCTATGTTTGGAGTTGATTGAGCATACAGTACAAAGTAGGGGGAGTTTATTACCTAAAGTAGGGGGAGTTTATTACCTGAATTGGAAGAGGAAAAGAATCATCAACGTGAAATGATTAGGTTGGAAGAGATCTATTGGAAGCAAAGATTAATGCTTACGTTAGAAGAGATCTATTGGAAGCAAAGATTAAAAGTGAAGTGGTTGAAAGAAGGTGATTTGCATATCAAGTTTTTCCATGTTATAACAAATTCTAGAAAGAGATAAAATGACACCTAGTGGTGGATGGGAGTGATAGGATGCTTTGGAGACTTTGTAAATCACTTCCAAAAACGTTTTTACCAAAGATATGCCCTTTTGTCTGATTCTTCAAGGAGTTCAATTAAGAAGGCTTTCAACAGAGGTAGCATTATCCTTGGAAAGTTTGCCTATGGAAGAGGTAGTGAAATGTTCTATTTTTTCTTTGTCAGGAGATACAGCTCTAGGTTCAGATGGATTTCCATTATATTTTTTTCAAAAATTTTTGGGTGTTTACAAATTTGGATATAATGATGATGGTGAATGAATTCTTCTCAAGGGGGGTTTTGAACGAGGCAATCAATGCAACTTCTATAGCCTTGATCCTGAAAAAATAACCTATTTCAGGAATTACAGACATTCGACCTATAAGTCTACTTACAGCTTATACAAAATCATCGCCAAAATCATGGTTGAAAGGCCGAAGGCAATGTTGAATTTGGTGATTTTGGGGCCTCAATAAGCTTTTATTCATGGTCATATTAATACTGATGGTGTGTTGATTATACATGAATGCATTCATCAAGAAAACTCAGTCGTGAGCTGGGTATTTTATTAAAGCTTGATACGGGGAAAGCTTATGATTGAGTAGATTGGGAAATATTGTTGGAGATCTTAAAGTGCATGGGTTTTGGGGCGAAGTGGTATAGGTGGATTAATGGTTGATTATTTAGTGCACATGACTCTGTCTTAGTAGATGGAAATCCAAAGGCTTTTTAAAGGCAATAAAGGGATTAAGGTAAGGGGACCAGCTTTCACCTATTTTGTTTATGGTTGTTGCTGAAGGTTTTAGTCTTCTGATTCGTAATGTAAAGATGATAGGTCAGTTTTCTGGCTTTAAGATATCTCCTAATAATCCATCGGTGTATACCATGTTGTTTTGTGATGCAACAATGGACCAAATTGTGAATATAAGGAGGATGTTGATTTGCTTTGAAGTGGCATTTGGATTAAAAGTGAATTTTGAGAAGACCACAATTATTGGGGTCGGTTGTGAAGAAGAAAAAATTATATCACTTGGTTCTCATTTGCATTGTAGAGTGGATAAGTTCCCTATTAAATACCCTGGACTTACTATTTTTTATAATAGATTGCCCAAGTTTATATGGGATCCTGTGATACAAAGGATATGAGAAGTTGGATTTATGGAAATAAAAAAATTTGTCACTAGGGAAAAGAACCACACTGATTAAAGCATCTTTATCAAATATTCGGATCTACCAAATGTCATTGTTGGTGATGCCGACTTCCATCTCCAAGCATATTGAACAGCTTATGCATAACTTTTGTGGGGCCCTAGTGAGCAAGGGAAGAAGTATCATCTTGTAAGCTGGGATTGGGTGTGTACTCCTAAAAAAGAAGGTGGATTGGGACTTAAAAGGCTCAAATACACTAGTTAGTCCCTTTTAGCCAAATGGTGGTGAAGATTGATGATTGATAAGATTTGTTATGGAAGGAGAACTTAATAGCAAAATATGGAGTGGATCAATACAATCTTTGGATTGGAAGAGGAGGGACAAGGCAGAAGTCACTTGTTTGGAAAGAAATACTACATTCTAGAGATTTTGTTATTCGATATACTACATGTATTGTTGGTAGAGGGAATAGAGTATCTTTTAGGCATAATAAGTGGCTGAGAGAGTCATACTCTGAAAGTGGCCTATCCACTTAGATTCAATGTTGTTGTTTATCCGCTGATGATTGGGGGTCGGTATGGAGTGTTCGATGTCAATATAATAGGGTGCCTAATAGTATGCTCGGATAATTTATAGATCCTTTAAAGTACTAGAAGGACTGAAAATTATCCAAGGGGTTGAGGATGAACTGGTGTGGGAAATTGAAAGTGATGGTTGTTTTACTATTAAGTTTGCTTATAATTTGTTGTTTAGGATTAGATGGATTCGGTACTCTCTAAAGAAGATATGGTGTTGGTGCATCCCTAGTAAAGTTAAGCTCTTCTTCTGGGTGCTTTTTAACGGAAAGACTTTAAAAATTGATAATCTCATGAAGAGGGGGAATATTTTCACAAACATTTGCCTTCTTTGTAAGAAGAATGATGAGAACGGAGATAATTTGTTTCTCCATAGCCCATTTCCTTGTAGAATATGGTGTTGGATTTTTAGGAAAATGGGGATTTTTATAACATTGCCTAGCAGTCACACACATATTGTTGATCATCTGCCTAGATGGCGTACCTAATGTTGGAGGTATGATTTTGCAGATTGCTAGGGCTGCAGTACTTGGGGAGGTTTGGTTGGAGTGTAACGAACGAGTATTTGAAGGGGCTATAATCGAGATTGAAATGGTGCAAAGGACAATTTTGAACACTATTTGGAATTGGCTTTCAATAACTAAAGAAGGTTTTGGTGTATTAAATGTGGAATTGAAAGTTAATCTTAAAAAGGTGGTTAAGGTTAGACTTAAAGGAAGATAGGAACTACCTTTGCTGGGATATTTGAAATTGAATTTCGATGGTAGTTCTTTGGGCAATCCGGGGTCCTAAAATTTTAGTAGTATAGTTAGAAATTCAGATGGAAAGAATATTTTTGTTATGCAGGACTTTGTGGAGTAACAACCCCAAATGAAGCAGAATTGATAACGCTAGTGTATGGCCTAAACTTATTGATTCAAACAAGAGTGGAGCAACCATGCATAATAGAAGGGGATTATTTAATTGTCATTAATTGGAGACCTCCATGGCGATTGAGGAGGCAATGGATGAATGTGTTGGAGCTTGGTGAGAAATTGCAATTTTTTTAGACACGTCTATAGGGAGGCAAGTGACAACTGATAGTTTAGCAAAGAGGGGAGTGGAATTTCAATGCTTTCAAGTGTCTAATTATTGTTTCTTTAAGATTTATGTGCTCATTGTATAAGTAATAAAATTCCTTACATTTGTCGAGAAAAAAACAATGATAAATTGTAATAATTTTAGAGGCG